AGTGACCAGATTTATCATTTTAAAATAAGTTTTCTTCGTTGTCTTGTCATAAAAATACACAAAAAATCTATTATCATATTCATTTATTGTGCATAACAAATCTATCCAACTTTGATTCATTGTTATCGGTAAAATCCAATACCTTTACTTTTAAGTGGAGTTAAGAAACAGTCAAACATGCATTCTAATTTATGAACTCAACTCTACCAAACCACAACATAAACAATTAATCAATGAATTTAGTTCAATACGCCTTCCTTCAAAGTATGTAAGAGACTAATATTTCTTTCCTAAACAGTCTTACTAATTAGGACTCGTATCGATGTCAATTTATCTTTTGCCTATAATTTATTTGGTGATTTTCAAAAAATCAACACCTCTCACGTTGGATTCAACAAAAAAAAAAAAAACAAGATAGCGAGACACCTATTGGAATCTATACCTCACTATTTTATCATCAGTTCTAACACAAAAGGGTAATCACACCAATTGAATGCAATAGCACAATCATGAAAACCTCACAATATTGAATTTTTCTTACAATAAATGTAATAGTAAATACCAAAAAACACAACATCCTCAACAAAACACCACGAGCATGACGATCAGCATCAACGACCTACCACACCACCACAGCTTGAGCAAACCAACAAAAATGTGACCAACCAACTCACCATGCCCTGCAGCTTCAACAATAGCGAAAAACGCACCACACTAGTGACACATTTGAGGAGCAACTTGACCCACCACAACAAGAGCTTCATCCACCATAGTGACGACAAAGACTATCGAGAAGCAAAGACGAAAGATATAGAGTGAACAAGGAAAGCAAAAAATAAAAGAAAGTGGAGAGACAATGGGGCAGCATGAGAAGAAACAAATGAGAAAAAGCATAGGGAAGAGAGAAAGTGAAGCGCAAAAGGAAGGTGGGGAAGAACATCAAATATTATATACCGATTATAGTGACTAACTGATATAGAAAGTCTTGTCCAATATTATATTTTTGTTACTGGTTATAGATTTAACTATTACAGGAAACGACTTTCTATATCAATTTCGAATATAATAAGTATAATCAATCAATATAAAAAATATTTTTATAATTACAATTATGCCATTATACTACTTTTTATATCGAATGGATTTAAACCAATATAAAAAGTTTCTATAAACAAATATTTTTTACACTATTGCAACTATATTAAATACCATCCTCAACCTCAATATGAAAACTTAAATATTCTTTCAATTTTCACTCACGACTTACAATAACATATGACATATGGTAACAAAAGTATCTCTTAGATATAGGATATTACAAGAATTTTCATAAAGTGAATAACCTCTAATAATGAAAAATACATAAATTTCGTACTGGCCACTAATAATGACATTTTGTGTGCTTTGACAAATGACATTTCAAATCTTCTCTAAAATTATTTGGCTTGTTTTTCTTAAATTCACTTTTGATACTATGTATGAAAAGATTGCTTTCACTTTTACATGCTACATAATTAAAATGAAAACATTTCATTATACATGTGACATAATATTCAAACATTGCATTATAGATGTGATATAATATATATATTTAAACTTAACCAGGTATACTTTTGCTAAATAACAATTATTTTTAAATAAAATATATTTTCTAATAGGAGAAATCTGTTATTACCTTATGCATGAAAATAACCATTGAATGTTATGCCAATTTAAGCAACTTCTGTTATGTATTAGAGATTACATTTATAATTAAGACTTTTTAGCATAATAAAATGTCGGCGTCTCGACAAAATTGGGACGTTAAAACTTGTCTATCATTTGTCTTCTTCACCCGTACTCTGATTGAATTTATTATTTCCACTGTTTACTTTTAAATATCATATGTATGATTGATGACTTAAGCTTTTAGGACGTACTAATTATTAAACTCTCAGTATCACATGTATCGATATATATATATATATATATATATATATATATATATATATATATATATATATATATATATAACTTTTTAAAATTCAATATAAAATACTACGTATAAAATTTATCGATAAAATCTTGTTAGCATATAATTTATATGTGGATTTCAGTCCTAAATCATGTTAATAACAGATAAATCCACGGGTAAATAAATATCCATATTACCTACAAGGAGTAAGAACGTATGGATTCTTTGAAGAAAAAAAAAATTCAAAGATAATCGCACATTTCTTATACTACTGGATTTTGACAGTAGCTAATACTGACTTTTTTTTTCCTTTTTACGATACATGACGGTTTCATTAAAGATGATATATATATATTCAACACTTGTTACTTTTTTATCTTTCTTCTTTATCAAATGTATCATCTATAGTATATAATTTTTTTTCTCATATGTAGCATGTTGAATATTTATGGTAAATTTTTCTTTTGTATATACCTAACAGGTTTGGAAATCTCTGAGGTGGGTCCAACGGAAAGGTAGAAAGAGTAACTTGCGGTCTTACTAGATTTGATATGAAAATATCATTATACTTAGCATATGAAATATCAAATACAAACCCAATCTCTCTGTACATGGATCTAAATCAACCGTGGAGATGTTGAAGTAAAGTATTTACGCACCACTGTTCCTTATCTTATTGTGGTCACCAAATATAGTTACAATCACACATGATCACACATAAGGAGTATAAACAGGGTAGAATAGTCCCATATGGCACCGCAAACCTTCTCACCATTGGAATAAACCCTCACATTCCTGTAGGAACAGCTCATTCTGGTTCCAAATTTCAACTTCGTACATAGGACTGAAGTAAACGGGTTCCGACTCGGGTGGGACATAGGAGTTGTCAACTAAATAAGGTTCTGTCCAGAAATCTACAGACAGAGGCTCCGTGTATGCATCCAAACCAGAAAGACCATCATAACTTTCATCATTTGTGGCGGTTGCTGCTGCAGCCGAAGCAGCAACAGAAGTATCGCTTGTTGTGTTGAGGTCACTGTAGTTCTCTGATAAGGTCTCCAGTGACTCGGAAATAACGGCTTCTGTTCCAACAGAATTTTGTTGAAATCGCTTCTTGAGGACGGTGTGCCAGTGGTTTTTTATCTCGTTATCACTCCTCCCTGGCAATTCAGCAGCAATTGTTGACCACCTTCACAACCACGAAATTACTGATTTCAAACCCAAGCTCAGCACACCACATAATAATTTTCGTACTGAAATTAATGACCCTAGTTCAAACACACCACACAATAACATGTATTCAAATATTGTTTTATCAGTCCTTCTCACGCTCTTAATTTCGAAAAGAATTGTGTCTGGTACTACTTTTCACACAGTTTTGGTCTCCGTTTCGCTTATCATTCAAACTCTAATAAATTTTGCTTTATTAATTATTCAGATATTTTATAAAGACGTGTCTTTCAGCACAAAGTCTTATGATCGGTCTATTTTGTGCCCATCTATTTTTGAAAATATTATAATATAACAAGCCCTATAGTTGAAGTGTTTCAAAAGCTTTAGTTATATCATAATTCATAATTTCATTGGCTAAGTAGACAATAACTTTAAGTTCTCCAATAAGACTAAGAGGAACTGAAGCAATTATTCAAACTTAATCGTCACAGAACTATTTTACATTATCCATCATAAAAAATCGTTCTCAAAACTATTTTTACTAATATGATAACATAAAGTTTTATGTATTATAAATCTAATATTATAAATATATATATATATATATATATATATATATATATATATTAATTAAATTCTTATTACAGATTAATAAACCATGTTTTTTATATTATATTACTGGGTGACGTTAGACGTGTGAGGTCAGCTTAGATTTTCTTATAGCATACATAAAATTTTCTTTTTGTAACAAAGTTGAACATGTAAATTGCAACATAACCACATAATTATGTCTTTTGGACTTGAGACTGGTTTTTACTATTTTAATATTAAACATGGACATTTATTTTTAGGTTGTTGATTCTGGACCTCCAATTTCAAAAAATATTCTTATGGATTATATTTTACTTCGTTGGATTTCAAAATCCGATAAAAAAAATTTTTTTATCGAATTTCAAAATTTAACGAAAGATTTTTCAAAAACTTCATCAGATTTCAAAATCTGATAAAAAAATTCTTCATCAAATTTCAAAATTCAACGAAGAAAAAATCCTTAATCGGATTCAAAATCTGATTAAACTATAGATGAGTGTAGAGCTTTTTGAATTATAGAAGGTAATTGTGAATTTTTAAAAAATTTTGGAAATGCAGATGAAATGATTGGAGGTGTAGGATAAAATAACCTTATTTTTATAAAAGAAGTTATAAAATATATCTAGTATATAAGCAATATAAATAAAGTTATCATAAATAAACTGTATTTTATATTTATAAAAATTAGTTTAAAATCTTACATAAGATTACTTTTAACTATTGAAAATATTTCTAAAAATTACTGATATTTTTAAAAAAAGATAATAGATTAAAAACGTATAGGGTTAATAAAATCGTACTTACAAAATTAACATGAATGAAGTCTAGTTTGGGATAGTTTAGAAACAAATTAATAGATTACGGGATAATATACATATAATTGAGTGACAAAATATAATTGAGTGAGTGAGGTGAGTAAGAGTTCAACTCTTAAAATCTAGGTCAATTTATGATATACGGCAGATTGAATCCTATATTAAACTTACAATGCGACTGGGAATGGTGTAATCGGATTCATGAGAATGTGTTCAGCTTTTTGCGCGACCAAAGTGAACTTTGAGTAGTGCAAACTCAGAAGAAACAGTAGTACCAGACCCAGTAATTTATACATACCTATTACCAAGCTTTCCGTGAAGTCTCACAATGGTTTCTTCTTCCTCATCACTAAAATTCCCTCTTTTCACATCTGGCCTTAGGTAGTTCAGCCATCTCAGTCTGCAACTCTTTCCACACCTTGCAAGACCTAAAAATCAACATGGTTAGAGCTATAAATCCAGCATGACTCAGAGACAAAGTAGAAAATCTCTCAGGTATTATTTTTGTGTGTACTATATATGTGTGTGTTTGTAAATGTATGTATGTGTGTATATATATATATATATATATATATATATATATATNGTGTACTATATATGTGTGTGTTTGTAAATGTATGTATGTGTGTATATATATATATATATATATATATATATATATATATATATATATAATATGAAACCAATGAAGTTTGAAACTCGTGAACCCAAAAACTCATGAATATTATTCAAATAACTTCACCATTAATTAGGTCCGCGATGATGGATTATGGACTAGATGTTATTTTTGTGTGTGTAATATACAATGACAACAATCAAGTTTGAACCTAAAAACTGGTGAAATTATTCAAATAAATTGACCATTAGATCACAACAGTGGATTCACAAGGTTTGATACCGAAAGAAGTTAGAGCTGTGTATCTGAAGGAGACTGATTGAGCTAAGGTATATACATATACTGTTAACATCATATGTTAACATCATATATCTTGGCTTAAGAAACAATTACAGATGAAACCATGTACTTTGTAAACATTTACATACATATAATTTATTTGCAGAAGAAAAAACAACAGGTGGATTCAAGACTAATTGATAGAGCTTTTTGGGCATTCAAAATAAAACGAGAAGCTTGAGCTTAAAAACTCTTGAAAATTTGGCAAATGACTTCCCCATTAGGTCAACAATATTGGGTTGAAGAGTAATGTTGTGTAGAAGAAAGTATAAAATGTAAGCTTAGAGTAGTAGGAATGCATGTACCTGCATACTTGGGGAGCAGGCGCCAATTCCAGTGGCCATACCTGGTAACATAAGCGATCAACTTCTTGTCTTCCTCCTGTGTCCATGATCCTTTTTTGAGACCATTTTTGTCGCAACAAGGGGTTCTCACCATGTCTGCAGGGTGTAGCTGTTTGTTTCCAATATGCTTGTGACTCTGTCTATGGTTTCGTGGACTGTGATCTTCAACTTAAACCTAAGACTGGGAAACAGAAGAAGCAACGGACAAAGACTTAGTTTACTATTTTCTTCGCTTCTCACCAGAAAATCTGGAGTCTTTTCTCCTCTCCTATATAGCAGCGTTCACAAGTGAACGTGTTCCACGATCACAACGTAATGATATAATTCGGGAAAAGACATATTTTCGTACCAAGATAATTTAGTAATATAAAACCGAGTAGAAGTGATGGAAGGAAAAATGAAATGATAGAAAGTAATTATGAGTAAGGAAATCTAATTATTATATAATACTGAAAATAAACGCACTCTTTTTTTTATAATAATAAAAATAATAAAATTATTATTATTATTAATATAATTATTATCATAATTATTAAATTAAAATCATTTTTGTAATTTTATTGTAAATAGTTTTTATTTGATTTTTATTTTGTAATTAAAAATAGTTAAGCTTAAACAATTTCAAATAAAAATTGATTAAATTTAAAAAATCGGTCACTTAAAAAATAAAATTGAAAATATAAATATTTTAATTTAAACAAAATTTTTATTTAAAGAGTAAAATTGGAAAATAAATATAAAAAAAATAATCTTTATAGATATGATTGACTTTATAAGTATATTTATATTTCTAAACAATTATCGGATTTTATTCATGATCTTGATTATTTTATTTTAGCTTTTCCTTTCGGGTATTTTTTTTCCTTGTGAGATATTTAGATACATTTTCAATAATAGAATAAAGTAATTTACACTGTTTTTAAGATAAAAATAAAGTAAAAAAATTTATTGGAGGCGAAAAGAAAACACATTCTGTTAGTTTATTAGGAATAAAACCTAATTTGAATCTAAATATACTAACATAAGCCATAATAAATCTAAAAGCAAGACCAAAATTTATTTTCAAGAGATAAAGAGATGCGAGCTATACTAGTAGTCCATGTATTATGCTAATAGTTCATGTTGTTTTGGCTTAAATACGATGCAATACAAATATATTAGAGTATAGAAAAATGATCCTTGATGTTTTATATTAGTTTGTATAGAGCACATATTAAGTTTAATGGTTGATTAGCATGATCAGATTTTATCATAGGATTATCGCTGGAAAAATACAAAGTGAGTAATTTTTAGACTTTAATCACTTTTAATTATAATGGAGTATTATTTGAACCAAGTTAAGATAATATTATTTGAAACATAACAACAATTATCTATAGAGTATTATTTAGATTACAACATTCTGGAGTAACCATTTCTAATTAAGATCAAGAATTTTCTTAATGCTATCTCTTTTTTTTTCTCATTACCTTTTTTTTTTCCATTCACTAGTACAAAACATTGTATAACGTTGGTATTTTTTATCTTTCACGTCGAATTCAAAGTTGACGTCATATCAGTAGACGTTAAATTGATGTCGAATTTAGAAAAGTGTAGTATCAACAACAAACAACATCAACAAACAACATCAACAAACAACATCAACAAACAAGTTCAATCAAACAACAACAACAAATAACTTCAACCAAACAACAACAAAAAACAAGTTCAATTAAACAACAACAAAAAACAAGTTTAACAAATAAGTTCTTCAAAACGAAAACGAAAACTAAGCTTCAAAAGGTGGGTTCGTCGGAATAAAGTGTTGTCATCGGTGAGAAAGAAAGCAGAATGTGCCTATGAAGTACAAGAACACGAAAATATTTTGTCAAAACAAACGAAAATTATACCTTAAGCAGTTAATTAACATGCATTTTTATCATATGAAAGAAAGATTACATGTGATGGCTGTCAAATTTCGTTCGAGAAAAGTTTGAGTAGAGAAAAATGTCTTGCGTGCTAAGATAAAGTGAATGAATTATCAATCTCCCACTCAATTTTCATTGAATTCACTAACATTTTGACGTCTAACGCTAGGGCATTCGACGTTTTATAACATTTTGACGTCTAAATCTAGGGCATTCGACGTCATACGTAAGTATATTTTCACCTCTGGGCCAAACATTTTTGCAAAATTTATCCAATAGGATGTCATACTTCTAAATATTCGTCATCTTATAACAAATTGACGTCGAATTACAGTTTTAAACGACGTCTAATAATTGCATTTATTTACAAAAATGCCACCGGTCATTTTTAACGTTGGCTACTCCACGGTTGGACATTGAACGCGTGACATTATACGTTGTTTTTATACTAGTGATTTGTATATTTTGTATTACAAGCAACTCTTTCTACTTTTCATTTTCCCCCTTTTTCTTTATATTTGTTTGACCCTGATTCTTACCTCTTGAAAATAGATCTACCATATTATAGTGGATTATTTTCATTTGAGTAAGTATCTTTTCACTCTAAGAATCTTTTAATTCCTTTTTTATTTCTAGTGTTTAAGCTTGTTGCTACTTTATTCAGTTGAGAAAAATGATCCTTTCAAACATTGTCACTGTCATCATCATTGGTTTTGTTGTTTAGACCAACGACACCACTATTCTACTCATGTTTAACAATTACTCCACTAGCGACCACTGTTGTTAGACTCGCCTAAGTTTTTAGATCAATAACTTTTGTCGTGATCAGGTGTCGTTGGATTTCTTTAACTATTTTAGGATTGTTTTTCCCTTGGTAACTATTTTAACTTTCTACTAATACATATGTCCTCTTCTATTGGTCATGTGTCATCTAATTCTTCATGACAACCTGATATTTTTAACTAATGTCTCAAATGGTACATGAATCGTCAAAACTCTAGTTTCACTACTTATGTTGTGCACATTTCAACTCTCTTTTGCTATTTGTTTTGGACTCAAGTGCCACATATCACATTACTAGTAATAAATCATTTTTCCTTTCTTTTCCTTCCATTACCACAACCAATGGGTCTCGACTCTCCTCACATGATGTTGGTACCATTCATATTTTATTCATTCCTTATCCATTTATAATGTTATTTACGTTCTTGAGTTTTCATTTAACTTATTATCCCTTAGTTGTCTCATTTGTTCACTTGATTGTATTATCTTAATTACCAAAGATTTTTTTTTTGTTTCTCGAACAAAATTTTGAGTTAGATAATTGGCGCTAGATACGGGTCTATTGAACTTTATTATCTTTAAACATCTGCACATGTTGAATCAATAATGGATTCTCCTCCTTTAATTCATGTTCAACTAGGTCATCCTAGTCTTGCTAAGATATAGGAGCTTGTTTCAAGTTTGTCTAAGTTATCCAATTTTTCTTATGAGTTGTGTCAATTAGAAAAAGTACAATCATAGCTCTTTCCTTAAATGTGTCTCACAAAGTGCTAAATCTCTTTTTGCCTTAGTTCATTTTGAAATTTGGGAACAAGTCATGTTAAGACAAATTTAGGATTTTAGTATTTTGTCACTTTTATTGCTAACTATTCAAGATGTTTTCAATGAAAAATCTTTCTAAGTTGTTTTCTATGTTTCAAACATTTTATAATGAAAGTAAAATTCAATTTGGAAATTTTGTTCAAACTTTACCCATGAATATCTTTCTCATATGTTTTTTAAATTTTATGGCTTATCATGGCATTCTTTATCTAACCTCATGTGTTACTAGTTCTGACATTTCCTTTTCAATCACTCTGGTTAGTCATTTTCTCAATTCCCCATGTGTAGATCATCTAAATTTATTCATTCATATGTTAAAGTATATTAAAATATCTCTTGGGAAAGTTTGATATATGGTCACAATAATCGTATTAAACTTATCTACATTTTAGATATTAATTGGACAAAATCTCCTTATGATAGAATGTCCACTTTTGAATATTATGTCTTCATTAGTGATAACTTGATTTGTTGGAAGAACAAGAAATAAAGTGTTGTGACAAGATCTACTACATAATAGAGTATAAAGTTATGGACTCAATCAATAGCGAACTTGTTAGACTTAAACAATTACTTAAAGAGTTGCAATCTATAGGTGTCACTTAAATTAAATTTATATGTAACAATCAACTCTTCATATTAGCTTTAATCCTATATTTAATTAAAGAACCAAACACATTCAAGTTGATTGTCATTTTATGTAATAAAAAAAATCATATATGAAGACATCATCAAGACTAAGTTTGTTAACTCAAGTAATTAATTAATAGATATTTTCACTAAATCTTTATGGGCTATAATTAATTATATTTGTAAAAAAACTTATGTACCAGTGTAAATATATTTAAGATGTTATTAGATATTGTTAGTTATAATATTGTGTTAGTTTTAAATGTAACGAGTTTCGATCCAAGTGTTTATATTTTTCTATTTATAGATACATAATCATATGTGATCAATACACATTGAAAAATAATACTTTGGCAAAAATAATTTTTTTTATATTCATTTGCACTATCCTTTCTTATTTTCTATTTTTTTCTTTCTTAGAAAAGTAAAAAATGTATTTATGATCATTTTACTCTGTGTCAAATAAATGTAAAAGTATGTTAAGGTTATTATTCATACACATTAGCAAGTAATTCTATGTCGCTCTCTTATTTTAATAAGGACAAACTATAGGTTTAAATTGATATTAAAATGAATAACTAAGTTCATGCACATATAAGTTTAGGAATTGTTTGAGCCATTTTAATGTTAGATAGTATTTTTTTTTTCTTAATTAAGAAATTGTGCGTGTGAATATAGAAAGTCATTATATATTGAGATTTAAAACTTGGTAGAAGAATTAGATTTCAGTTTTATGGAATTGAAGAATGTTTGTATTTCATTGAAAATAATGAATCTTATTGAAATTGTTATTGAATATTGAATAGTCCATTTGATTTGAATTTTTTGGAATAAAATAATTGGGCCATAATTTAATTGTGCAGTATAAAGTTGTTGGAATAGAGAAAATGGTTGTTTAATCCTGTAAGTAACTTTAGAGAATTGTGCAGAAATGTTGGTTTAGAATAATTCACTTAGCGACGAATAATTTCGCTTAACAAATTTTAAAGTGAGAACAATTAATTAAATTCTTTTAGCGAATGTTGATTTTAATAAACAATAAATGAGTCAAAGACCAAATAGACAATTTTAGTCAACAAAATGACTCTAACCCAAGTATAACCTTAGTTATACAAAACAATTTT